CGAAGTTATCCGACGGGGGCCCGGGGCGGGGGCCACTGGCCCTTTGATTCCGGGCGCGACGGCGGGGCCGGGCCCGAAGGCGGGGCCCTGGGCGCAGGGTCGGGGCCAGCCCGGCGCGACGCTGCAGGGCATGGTGCTCACTCCCGCGGCCTTGGGCGCGCACGACGCCGCGCCCCCGGCCGGCCGGCAGGAGACCTCCAGCCCCGCGGGCGGCGAGGCAGGCGGCGTGGCCGCCGCCGCGCAGCAGCAGCAGCCGGCGCTGCTGGCGCGACACCTGACGCAGGCCCAGGGCCACCTGCCCCTCAACTGGTTGACCCCGGCGCACGCCGCTCAGGTGATGAGCACCTACCAGCAGCAGCAGCAGGACGCCGCCGCGGCCGCCGCCCGGCACCACGCCGGCGGCGCGCCGGCGCCGGCGCCGGGCGCCGAGGCCCAAGTGGCGCATGCCGCGGAGCCGCGGGCCTCTGCGCCGCCGCCGGCCCAGGCGGACGGCGGCCCGGGCGCTGCCGTGGGGCCCGCGCTCGCCGGGGCCGGCCCCGTCCTGGCCGCGGCAGACGGGTCTCCGCCGGTTGGCGCCCTGCACCTTCCCCAGCCGGGGCCGGCCTCCTTCATGGAGATGCTGGGCGAGGTGGACGCCCCCGCCGCGCCCACGGCCACGCACGAGGCGCCCCCCGCGGCGCCTGCTGGTTTGGCGGCCCCGGCAGCCCCTGGCGCATCAGACCCTACGCTGGTGCCAGAGGCTCTCGACGGCGGACCTGCCCCCGACCCGGCGCCGGCGCAGCCCGCGGCCCCCGACGCGACGGTTGCTGGGGTTGCAGCGCCTGCGCCAGCCGCGGCATCCATTCCAGACGCTGCACCGAGCACAGACGCGACGGCCGACTCCGGGGCCTCCCCACCGCCAGACGCCCGCCAGGCCACCGAGTCACCCGAGCCGCCGGCACCCTCCGCCATGGACGTCGACCTGTCGCCGCCCGTGAGCTTGCCCTCGCCCTACTCCATGTCCCTGTCCCCGGGGGAGGGGGCGGCGGGGGTGGCGCAGCCGGCCGCCGAGCCGGGGACCGTCACGTTGCCGGGGGGCGAGGTAGTGCGTGTGGCCTCGCTGAGCAATTGGGTGCATGGCGGCCTGGTGCAGCCCGGCCCAAAAGGCCCCGCCCCCCAACCAGAAAGCATCCCCGAGGCGGGCACAGGCCTGTTGGAGGGCACTGACCAGGCGCCTCAAGAGGGCTGAGCCTGCCGAATCCATTGACCTGTCGGACCGGAAGCCGATTCACCACTGTACACACACCAGCCACAGGGTGTGGAATGAAAGGAGGGGGGTGGTGTCCGCATGGGTGTGGGGGGTGGCGAGGAGCATGATTCCCCAGGTGGACATGTGGCGAAAGAGATTCGCCGAGGATTTCATGCGCCCTGGTGCCACTTCCTGCACTGGGCCTCTGGAAGCTTGAGCTGCCGTCCGAACCCATGGCATCTAAAATATACATTGGGAATTGAACACCCGCTGAGGGTGCAACTGCTCGCCCAGATCTTCGCCATGAAGCTCTAGCCTGCCGCATGGCCAGCTCACATGCCTCCTCATCATGCAGATGTGCACGGGTACATGGCAGCACATGCGAAGGCCCTTGAATCTACAGGCTGATTCCCAGACAATACGTGCAATCGGGCGGGGGCATGTCGTGGCATCCGTCGCGCAGGGGCCCGGCAGAGGTGCTCGGCAGGTACGCTACATGCAGGCGCCCCAGCCCGTGTTCCGGGCCGCTCCCTACCTCATGGAGCTGCACCGGCAGCGCCAGCAGTCCAGCGGGTGCGTGATAATGTGTCTGGACGAAGGTATGACTCACGCCCGGAGGTGGGGAAGTGCCTGAGGAGTCGCATTCCTGCGCCCATCAGCTTCGGCGACGTGCCATCACAGTCCCGGGATCGGCACCCACCCTTTTCAGCCCGGTCCCAAGGCACTGCAAGCACACCAATCCTTTCCGCATATGCCGTTTCGGTCAGCACTTGCCACACTCCCACCATTCTACCCCTCGCCCTCCTCCCTGCACCCCCTGCAGGCGAGTCGTGCCGGAGCCTGCTCACCGCCGCCATGCTCCAGGTAATGCTGGCCCGGTTGCCCCATCTGGACGTGGCGGTGACCACCGCCTCCATCGGCCCTGCCATCCCCGGTATGCGCTCCCCCAACCTGGAGGCGGTCGCCGCCGAGATGGACCTTGTGCTGCCCGCGGTAGGCTGGCTGGGTGACGGCTTGCCGATAGGGCGAAGCTGTGCGCGCGCGCAGGGGTCCTCATGATCTGGGAATCTGCCCCCTCTCCATGTCCCCTCTTTCATCTGGCGCCCTCCTTTCTACCTCCCACCCCAGGGCACACTGCATGAGTTTGACGAGCTGCGAGACACTGTGCGCTGCGACCTCATCCTCACCATGGATCGCTTTGACCATGCTGAGGTCCAGAAGGAGGTGAGCGAGATTGCTGGGTGGCCATTTGCAACTCAGAGCGTAGAGTGAAGGGATGTGGAGGACGAATTTGGTCAAGGGGAAGCATCCTTGGCGGGCCGGGTGACATCCGACTCGAGCCCTGGCAGCACGCGTCCGCACTTTCCAGCCCCCACCCCACCCTTCCCATCCCCCAACCCAAACACAATCGAAGGTGTCGGTGCTGGACCGCATCAACAGCTCCGGCTTCTACACCCAGCGCATACGCCAGCTGGGCAGCTTCGGCCCCGGCGGGCTGGCGGCGCGCCCCGCGCTGGACATCGCCGACCCCCTGTACGCCAAGATGACGCACGGCGCCGAGCACGCCGCGCTCCGCGCCGCCGTGCACGACATCGCGGCCGCCTGCCGGCACCTGGTGGGCAGCTTGGCCCAGCTCAAGGCGCGGTGCGTTGGATGGGTGGGGAGGAAAGGACTTGATCGGCTGAGGGGCGCCATATTCTTTGTAAGACTTGTGCGTGTGGCTGGGCGGAGGCTCATGCACAGTCGCGGTCCCCTTCCCCCCCATCATGTCTGTCCTCCTCACCCTGAACCGGCACCCACCCGACCACCCACCACCGCCATCATTATCCACAGCGCGGGTGCCTCCACGAGCCTGAGGATCGCGCTGGCCTGCCTGCTACAGTGCCCGGCGCTGGACCCGCAAGTGCTCACCGCCCGGCGCCGCGCCGCCTCGCTTCGTCGCCCGCTGTGGCGCTCCGAGGGCGGGCGCCTGCTCACGCTGCGCACGCTGCGGGGCGAGGGGCGCGTCGTGGCGGCGCGCCGCGCGCCCGTGGTGCCGTGCGGCCACTGGCGCGACGCGCGTAGCGTGGACGAGGCGCTGCAGGCCTGGCTGGCGGCGCGGGGCGGGGATGGCGGCGGCCGCCTGCCCACCCAGGCCGCCCTCCGCGCCTCCAGCGCCAACTCCCTCAGCTGGGCGGTCGATCGGCACGGCGGCATGGCCGCCGCAGCGCGCCGCCTGGACCTGGCCATGGCCCTGCGCCGGCCCAACGGGCACTGGGACATGCCCGCGCTGGCCGCCGAGCTGGCGCCCTACCTGCTGAGGGAGCAAGAGGGAAGCGCCCCGCGCCTGCCCACCGCCGCCGCGCTGGTGGCGGAGGGCAGGACTGACCTGGTCCGTGCCATACGGCTGAACGGCGGCTTCAAGGCCTGTGCCCGCAAGCTGGTCATGTACGAGGAGGCGGGCGGGGGCAAGGAGGACGGGGTGGATGGGCGACTCAATCTAGGGTCCCCTTGGGCCGCCAGGCGGATGCCTCAGACCCCAGGGCAGGCGCGCCAGGAGGGCAGGCTGGAGGCGGCGGCGGCGCGGGTGCGAGCACTCCAGCATGCCCATGGTTTCGACCCCAGGGTCATGCCGACCCACGCCCAGCTGCGCGCAGCGGGGGAAGGCAAGACCATCGCGGCGCTCCTGGGCGCGGGCGGCGCCCGGCGGGTGGCCGCCCACATGGGCCTGCGCTTCCAGGAGACCAGGGGGAGGAGGCCTGGGAGGAGGAGGGACGAGGAGGCATTGCAAGAGGTTGTCTTCGTCTAGACGCATACGCGTTTGAATGTATCCCAGCATTTGGTCCGAGCACCGCAGCAGAGAAGGGACGAGAGGTGTGGAGCTCACCTGAAGGGCGTGCTGCGGCGCGTGCTGCGGCGACTCCCGAAAATTAACACAAGCGACAGCTGAAAACACCGAAACCGGGGAGAAGGTCGCACACCGCCATGGAGTCACCGCAAAATGGAAAGACGTAGTCGAATCCCCCGCCCGACGGCACGGGCGCCGCTCCAAGCGATACCGGCCGAGGTGAGGGGGCCGGTTGCGCACGGGATGCCGTGCCGAGCTTTTCTTGCGCAGACGGGGGGCACGCGATGTGTCTTCTTACGCGGATACAAAAACATATGCCCTTAAAATACTTGTAGACCATCAATGCTGCCGCCAATCGGAAGAGGAGGGCCAGTCCAGGCGCCTCCACGGCCCCGGCGCCAAAAAGAGCGACAGCCAGGCCGAGCTCGGCACCCAGTGCCAAGGCCCCAGAGCCTACTTCCATGTCGAAGGTGGGTCTTTGACATGGCTGGGATTCAATATTGTCTATGCTGTGGGTACTTGCGTCTGCAGCTGGAAAATGAACTCTCACACAGGGCTGCCCCATGTGCCCACTCCCACCTCCAAGGAAGTTGAGGATGAGTGGGCTCAGGTTGCAGGGGAGACCGGGTGGACGCCCGCCGAGTGCCTGGAGCACAAAGTAACCTTTGCTAAGCGCGCGGACGCCAAGGCCAAGGTGGAGACCCTGGCCGGGCACATGCGACGCCTGCGGGCGGCTGGGTGGAGCCTGCTGAGCCAGGCCGAGAGGTGGGGCGGGTTGTGCCTGGCGGGTGATGACCTGATGCATTGACTGGACCTTGCTATTCCTGGGACTGGGGTAGGTGGGTATGCACTGCATCTTCATCTGCCGAGTCATTTTGTCCTGGCCCTCGTTCACCACTCCCGGGACCCCACTGCCCTGGCAGGCTGCAAGGGGAGGCCAGCAGCGCCACGGCACAGCTGGAGGTAGAGGCCAGGGGCAGGGCCGAGGAAAGGACTGCGGCGGAGGCCCGTATCTCCGCGACCGCATCCCGGCTGGCCTGTCTGGAGGCCCGGCTGGCCATCTCGGAGACAGCGGCACGGCATGCTGAGTCAGCGGCGCGTGAGCTGGAGGCGGCGCGCGTCCGCGCCGCGGCCGCGCTGGCGGCCGCCGGCGCAGAGGCCGACCAGGCGCGGGGCGAGGCGCAGCGCGCGCGAGAGGAGCTGGCCTCGGTGTCCTCCGCGCTGGCGGCCGCCACGGGGCAGGTGGCGGAGGGCCAGCGGTACGCCAGCGAGCTGCAGCAGTACAACGCCTCCATCCAGGGCGAGCTGGCCGGGGGCGCGGGCCGAGGCGGCGAGCGCGCGCGAGGCGGCGGCCGCGGCGGCGGGCGAGGCGGCCCAGCTGCGCGGCGAGGCGCGCGGCCTGGAGGCGCAGCTCGCCTCGCTCCGCGCCAGCCTGGGCGGTCGCGAGGCCAGCGCGGCTGCGGACGCGGCCGAGACCGCGCGCCTGCGCGCTGAGCTGGCCGTAGCCCAGCGTGAGCGCGCCGACGGCGCGGCGGCCACGGCGGCCGCGGCGGCCGAGCTCGCGGCCGCGCGTGCCGAGCTGGACCGCTACCGCGCCGCCACAGGTCCGGACCTGGAGGCGCTGGAGGGCGCGCGGCGGCGGGGGGAGGAGGCCGAGGAGCGCGGCAAGGCGCGCGCGGCCCTGGCCGCGGGGCTAGCGGACTCGCTGGCGCTGGCTCGGGAGGAGAGCGCGCTGGCCTCGGTGCGCTGCGACGCGGCGGAGGCCGCCTGCCGGGCGCTGCGGGAGGAGATGGTGGGGCTGCACGCCGCGCTAGCCGAGGCGGAGAGGGGGCTCGAAGAGGGCGAGCGCACGCGCCGGCAGCTGCACAACACCATCCAGGTGTGTTTTGATGTGTGTTTTGGTTTGGTGTGTCTTCCTTTGGTGAGTATGTGTGGTGTGGTGTGTGGTGGGGGGGGGGGGGGG